AGCAGTCAGTCATATCTATTCCTCATTCTGGACATTTCCCACAACTGAATAACATATGGTTAATTCAGTGAGTATCAGGTTGCTGTAGGAATTTTTCTTGTCCAGTATTTATGCATTCAGCTGGTTGACAAAACACTTCATTGCATTTACAGAGTACAACTATAGCTTAACATTCCACAACAAATACATTATATATAAAAACATGTTCCATTGAAATTCAAAAAATATACATTGCTAAAATTAAAATGGACCAACTGTCTAGCTTTTCTGTTTTTAAGTCTAATTGAATCTCAGAATTGTGTTTTCCATAGAAAAATACCCAAGTAAGGTAATATTGCAAATGATATAATTGTTAATTTAGCAGATTTCAAATAAAATTTACCAAAGAGAAGCCAAATTGCCAAAATAAAAAATGTATTTTTACTACTTATTGCTAATTTTAAATATTTCTATTTTGTCTCCATTTATTGATTTTTCTAAGATTCTTACAAAAATAGAACACCTTATTTACCTATTTCTGGATATCATGAAGATGGAACTTTATTGTATGTTCTGTAATATGAAATGAAAGTTATTATCTTATAAGGAAAAATAATGCCCTTGAGATATGATAAGTTACAGAGCCTAAAATACTATTAATGCACCAGGATCAAAATGGCACACTAGGTAAATGCCGCATCCTATCCTTGTTTCTATTTCTTGGAGTTCATAGTAAAAATATTTTTTCTTTTTAATATTTTATTATTAATTTTTTTTTCATTTTAGAGAGAAAGAGCACATGAGTAGGGGAGAGGCAGAGGGACAGACAGAATCTTAAGCAATCTCCACACTCAGCACCAAGCCCAACATGGGGTTCAATCCCATGATCCTGGGATCATGACCTGAATGGAAATTGAGTCAGATCCTCACCTGACTGAGCCTCCAGGTGCCCCAAAATATTTTTTAAATATCGATGGTTGCACTGGAAAGCAAGAAGGATATACCTTTTTGGTCCAGAAACTATGAGAAAATTTAAAAGATCCAAAGCAGACTGTATTTAGTAGAAGTAAGAAAGCTCATCTGAAGCAAAAGGACACATTTTGTCAGGAAATAAGAGAAGAAATGAAAAACAAATAAACCAGAAGCTTGTTAAGACAAAAATAAATAGCAATATTAAAAAAAAAATTTAACGTTTATTTACTTTTGGGAGAGAGAGACAGAGTGTGAGGAAGGGAGGGGCAGAGAGAGAGGGAGACACAGAATCAAAAGCAGGGTCCAGGTTCTGTGCACACAGTTCAGATGTGGGGCTCGAACTTGTGAACCCCGAGATCATGACCTGAGTGACTTCAGCTGAGTCGAACACTTAACCGACTGAGTCATTCAGGTGGCCATAAATAGCAATATATATGTTTTTGAACTTCAGCAAAAATATTTATTTATTTATTTATTTATTTATTTATTTATTTATTTATGTATGTATCTTTTTCAACATAATACTTAATTTTATTTTTTTTAATTTACATCCAAGTTAGTTAGCATATAGTGCAACAATGATTTCAGGAGTAGATTCCTTTGTGCCTCTTACCCATTTAGCCCATCTCCCCTCCCACAACCCCTCCAGTAACCCTCAGTTTGTTCTCCATATTTATGAGTCTCTTATGCTTTTTCCCCCTCTCTGTTTTTATATTACTTTTGTTTCCCTTTCCTTATGTTCATCTGTTTTGTCTCTTAAAGTCTTCATATGAATGAAGTCATATGATATTTGTCTTTCTCTGACTGACTAATTTCACTTAGCATAATACCCTCCAGTTCCATCCACGTAGTTGCAAATGGCAAGATTTCATTCTTTTTGATTGCCGAGTTAAGACTTCATTGTATATATATATGCCACATCTTCTTTATCCATTAATTTGTCAATGGACATTTGGGCTCTTTCCATACTTTGGCTATTGTTGATAGTGCTGCTATAAACATAGGGGTGCATGTGTCCCTTCAAAACAGCACACCTATATCCCTTGGATAAATGTCTAATAGTGCAATTGCTGGGTCGTAGGGTAGTTCTAGTTTTAGTTTTTGAGGAACGTCCATATTGTTTTCCAGAGTGGCTGCACAAGCTTGCATTCCCATATAAATAGCAGTATTAACAAAAGACCAAATAGAATTTAAGGTAAGCAGAATTAAAGAGGGGGAGGGATATTGCATACTAAGGAAATATAATATAGGAATTGTAGCAGTACAGTTTCTTTTTTTAATTTTTTTTCAATGTTTATTTATTTTTTGGGACAGAGAGAGACAGAGCATGAACGGGGGAGGGGCAGAGAGAGAGGGAGACACAGAATCGGAAACAGGCTCCAAGCTCTGAGCCATCTGCCCAGAGCCCGACGCGGGGCTCGAACTCACGGACTGCGAGATCGTGACCTGGCTGAAGTCGGACGCTTAACTGACTGCGCCACCCAGGCGCCCCTAGCAGTACAGTTTCTTTATGTACCAGTAAGCATAGTTGAGAAATACTAAAGTGAAACTGATAAATATACAAAAATTTAATAAATCCACAGTCATGGTCAGAAACTTTGATACCTACCTTTAGAAACTTTTGATTTGTTGAATTGATGATATAAAAATAAGTAAAGATATAAAATATTTGTATAACATAATTATCAAACTCAATCCAATAGATATACATAGAATTTTATAGAAGTCTGTATTCAATGGAGGATTTAAACACAAATAGGACACCAAAAGAAAACAACTGACTATGTACTAAACCACAAAATAAATCTCAAAAAAGCTACCAGAAACTGATACCATAGATGAATATATCCATATTCATTGACGCTGCAAGATAATAAGAAATTAACACATAAAATAGCTCTCTTCAAGCTCCCTCCAAATTTACAAACCTATCAATTAAAAAAATTCTTCTAAATAATTCTTTGTTAGGAAAAAAATAAACCTTAAACCATTTTCAAAGGATAAAAGCACTATTTATCAAAATGTATACTTTGTGTCTATGACAGAAATCAGAGGAAGATTTATAAACCTAAATGCATTATTAGAAAACAATAAAAACTAAAAATAAATAAACATATAGAACAAAAATAACATAGACTTTAAAACCAGAAGTCAGTAAAATTAAAAAAAAATGTTACCAAAATAACAAATAAAAAACAAAAAAAAAGATTTCTAAAGTTGATCAACAGAAATCAAAAGTAAGATTTTTGGAGAAATAAATGTAAAAAATTACTGAAACATATGGCCATGAAAAAAAAAAAAGGAGAAATACATTGGGAACTCAAGTTGACAAAGTTACTGAATAAAGTTTACAATATTATAAGACAATGTACAAAATTTTATGCCATAAATTTTTAAGCCTACAAAAAATGTATATGCTTTAGGAATATATGAATTCCCAAGTGTGTTCAAAAGAAATGAGAACAATTGAATTAAACCTTAAACCCTAGACGAGATGGAAGCAATAGCAAGTCTAATAATTTTCGCCCAGATAGTGAGTTCTGGCAAGACTTCCAAAATAAACAATTTCTCATCTTCTGCAAAGATTTCTAGATCAAAGAAAATAAAGTGAAGCCTCATCTGAACTTTCAAGTGATCCAAAGAAGACTGCATGCAATAGAAGAAAGAAGTAACTTAGTGTATTCAATAGTTAACGAAACTGAGCAATGATAGCAAACACCACACACACACACACACACACACACACACCCTACAATGTGCCATTTATACTTATAAAATAGATTTTAAAAACCATATAAAATATTAACAAGTCAAGTTAAAGAGCATTTTTGAAAAAGGCATGACTAGGTAGTGTTTTTTATAGGATAAAGTATATTCCCAAATTAGAAATCGATTACTGTAATAACAGTAAAATGTTTGTTTATTTCAATGGGTAATGATAGACATTTAATAGAAACGAATATTCATTTATAATAAAAGTATTTAACAAAACAGGTCTAGAATAGAACACCTTTAAATTAACAAAGTGCCAGATATTTAAGTGAACATCATCTCACAATGGGGAAACATTAAAAATATTTCAAATTACAGTTGATACCAAGATGAAGATTCTCTCTATTGTTGCTACTATTCAACATTATGTTAGAGGCCCTAGCTACTGAAATAGTGAAAATAAAGTGGTATATACGTTAAAGGAAGAAATAACTGTCATTCACACGGGATGCCAAATTCCAAGGTAGTCTATTATTATTTGCACATGATCCCCAATTCCAAGATAATCAGCAAGCACAATTGGCAACAGCTATGAAATTAAACCAAGTGGAATAGCTTGATATAAGACCAATATACAAAAATCAATGGCTTTCCCACAAACCAGTCATAAGCAAATTAGAAAATATAGCAGCATATAGTAAATACCATTCATAAAACCACAAAAACTATGATATCCCAAAAAACAAACCTCAAGAAAAATGTGTATGACCTGAATAAAGAAAATTATAAAATTTTAGTTAACAAGCTGTAACAAAGACTAGTAATATGTATGTTCAAGAATGAGAACACAATATTAAAAAGGCATTTAAAAATCAGTAATATCAGTGATATATCCACAAAAATACCAGTAAGATTTTCATGGAAAATTTTCACTTGAAAAATGGATTCTAAAATTTATATAAAAGTTGAGAGCTCTATGCCTAGTGACATGATTGAACCTAAATATCCATATTGGTCTCTGGAATTCTTCATGTTTAATTCTTAATGCCGAAAACATCTAAAAACAATTAAAGATGTATATATATATATATATATATATATATATATATATATATCTCCCCAAAAGTTAGTAAGATTAAAGCATTTTTCAACCACAAATATAAGAGAAGGTATGGCAAGTCACATTTTCCAAAGGTGAGTATAATTTCTTCCACGCCACAGATCTGCAATGTGACCTCAATATGTTGTGAGAATCCCAAATCTCACAGAGATGCTATGTATAGGTCCTCCTGCCAACAGCCCCAGCTAAGTGCAATGTGGCTTGCAATACATTCTGACCCAGGTACCAGACATTTGTGTCGAAGAGCTTAGAGAACATGCCACCTACCAGCCATTTGTGTCCTTCCTTAGCAGCTCAGACTTCCCAGACGAGACCCCAGACATTCTGGAACAGACAAGCACTTCCTGTTGAGTCCAGTCCAAGTTCCTGACCCACAGGATTTTTGATTCTAATAAAATTATTGTTGTTTCGTACCCCTGGATTAGCGGTGGTGTGTTAAGCAGTAACAGTTGATGGGAACAGCTGTATTTCAGCAAGTAGCAAGACTACTGAAACTGTTTTTGTCCTGAAACTGTATGTCAAAGCTGGAAACTTCAGTGGTTCTCACAGACTTTAGGAGTCAGGGCTCACCCAAGGTGGGAAATATGATAGGAAACTCTCAAACGTTGAGTTGAGAACCTCAGTGTAAAAAGGAAGCAAAGTTAAATATACTCATGCCTCTATTCTCAAAGAACTATTTTTGCCCTGTTTCTGAGCAGATAAAGGAAAAAAAAATCCCTGAGAGGTTATATTCTCAAGCTAGACTTACATGGATGTACAGTCAAAAGTTGAGGTCCTTATGCTTCAGGAAAGGTTTAAGTGATTCTACATTCTTACTTAATGTGCCTACAGTGGTGATACAAATCCTCTTTGAAAGACTGCATCTTTCTCCTACAACCATTTTTTAATTTTAGTTTTCAAATAATTAATAATTAATTTTCAAATAAAATTGAGCAGTTGGAACTTCTGTTCCCAATTATAATTAAGCAATACAGATCAGAGCTAACTTTCATCTGAAACAAAAATTCAACATCTATCAAAGCATGGTTTCAAACATTGTATATTAGGCAGCACAGGACATTGACTCCTGGGGAAGAAAATTTTGAGGTCAGGGCTCTGAATGCCTCAGCTTACAGTTTGGACAGTTCCTAGGCCACAGTGCAGGGAAAGGAGACCTAAGTGGAGAAGGCTTGTACCTCCCAATCAAGATGATGGAGTTGAGTATCTGGTGAGGCCAAAACAGCTACAGTTCATAGGAAGGAATGCCAGACCAGAGAATACTGCAGAGTGAGGGTTCTGCATAGACATAAAAGTTACCTTTTCAAATTTCAGCTGAGTGCTGATCAGTGAGTGTGTGTGAGGAAACAACCTGGGTTTGAGAAAGAACTACTTGGAAGAAGCAGACGGAACAATCTATGGGGCTAACACAGGGTCATTTTTAGTTTATGTTGTACCAGCCAAAGTGGAAATACATCATAATTCAAAGGGCATTGGTTAGAATAAACACAGTGTTTTGGGTCAGTAGTGGGGAAAGATTAATAGACTACAGGCTGTAGTCCTGCCTAACAAAGCTTAAAAGTAAAGCCGGAAAGGGATTAAATTGTTTCCAAGTAACAACTGCATTCCAGTAACAAATGCACTCAAGAATATTTTAGGAACACAAAAATTTCTAGCATCCAACAAGGTAAAGTTCAAAATGTTGGGCATTCAATAAAAAAATTTGCCAGGTGGTCAAAGAAATAAGGAAATACAACTCACAGGATGAAAAAAAACCGGCCAATAGTAACAGACCCAGAAGTGACACAAATGATATAATTAGTAGATAAGAATGATAAACCAGTTATTACATTTATCTCCTAAATGTTAAAGAAGGCAGCCAGAAGGAGGAACATGTTAGGGAAAGGAATGAATGATACAGACAAAAATACCAAATTGAACTTCTAGATATAGAAAAAAATTCTGAGGGGTGCCTGGGTGGTTCAGTGGGTTGAACGTCCAACTCTTGATTATAGCTCAGTTCATGATCTCATGGTTGTGAAATTGAGCCCTGCATCAGCCTCCATGCTCAGTGTGGAGCCTGCTTGGGATTCTCTCTTTCCCTATCTCTCTGCCCTTCCCCCCTCAAAATAAATAAATGAACTTAAAAAAAAGAAATTTCTGATATGAAAAATACATTGGATGGGGTTAACAGCAAAAACTATAAATTAACTTGAATATAATGCAATGGAGCAATAGAAACTATCAAAAGTCTATACAGAGAGAAAAATATAGAAAAGTATGAACAGGTCAAATAACCTAATGTGCATGTGTTTGGAGTCCTTGGAGGAAGAGTGAGAGGATAGAAAAAATATTTGAAACAATAATGACTGAAATTTTTCCAAATTTAACAAAAATCATAAACACATAGATCCAAGAAACTAAAAAAAAAACAAAACCAAAACACAAGAAACATGAAGAAATCTACATCATAACATATAATCAAATTGCCTAAAGGTACTGATAAAGAGAAAATCTTAAAAGTAGCTAGCAATAAAAGATCATTACTTATAGAAGAACAAATATAAAATGATAACAGATAGCAGACTTATTGGAAATAATGAAAGGCAGAAGAAAGTGGGATGATATCTTTAAAATACTAAAATAAAAACTGCCAACCTGGACTTCTATACCCAGAAATAATATCTTAACAAATGAAGATAAAATAAAGGCTTATTCAGTCATACAAAGAATTTATCACTACAGACATCATAAGAAATGTTCAAGGAAGTTCTTAAAGCAGAAAAAAAATAATACTCAATGGAAACATGAATCTACATAAAGGAGCAAACAACACTACAAATTATAAATATGTAGGTAAATAAAAAAAGCTTTTTTATATTTTAAAAACATTTCTAAAGGAAAATTGTTAAAAGAAAATTAATAACATAGTGTCAAGATCATAACATATGTGGAAATAAAGTGCATGACAATAAAAAAAGGCCTGAGAAATGGAAATATATTGTTTTAAGTTTCTTTTACTATATGTAAAATAATATAATTTCCTACCAGCAGAAATTGAAGAAAGCATGGCCACCTGGGGCACTACGTGTTATATGACCACATATCCTGGGTCAGTTACTGATATGCAGAAATACTTAAATTATACAATTCATATGTCGTAGCTCAAGCATGCATATGCATTTTGTTCTTGCTAAAACAGTAGTAACAAGGCACAAAACTAACTCAACTCTTCTTATTTCAGTTTTTTAAATGTGTATATTCTACCAATGCTCTACTAGTATTGCCAGCGACTTCCATAACACACTTACCTTGTACTTTGAGTTATGCTCAACTTCCACACATCATAGGTTCATCAGAAGTCTGTGCTCATAGGGCATCCTGAACTCCACATGCAAGTGGCACTTCCAGGAACGGTGGCGAACATGCATATTGTGTGTATCTCCTCTGCTCATGCACATCCTCCATTATCCAATTATACATCCTTTACAAAAGACAAGTTCAAAGATAAAATTGTTAACAATTTCATGATGTCAACAGCAGAGCATTAACCAGACACAGGACCCTTCTGAGCTTGGGGTCCTGTGGGCCTACACATTTCTCATGCTGGTCTTGAGTGATACATTCTGGAGCTCAGTAAAAAATAGGTGGAAGTATTGGCTTTTGCAAAGGGTTCAGCACTGCTTGGCTACACTTGGTGGGATTATCCTTATCCATTCTCTTAGTTCACTTCCCTGTCTCTTTGGCCTAGGTACAGAAGATAGTGTTGTCACCCTGCTGGCTGGGGTCATATCATGTGGCATGATGCCAAAGGATGAAGAAAGTTTCTGGTTCCCAATGACTGAAGCCCTGTGTATGGCTAGATGTTTACCTGGGCCAATAGCCAGGGCTTCCACTGCACTTGGTAGGATGGTGAGAAAGCCCCTGGGGTTAATTTCAACATTGAAAATTTTCTAATTCATTATACCAATAGGGAAAGTTGAAAATCATTATGATCATTTCTAAATATGCAGAAATACATTCGATAAAGCCAATATCCACTTATGATTTTTAAAAAATTTGTTTTTTTAAAAATGTTTATTTTGAGAGAGAGAGAGTGTGAGCCAGGGTGGGGGGGGGGGTGTAGAGAGAGAGGGAGGGAGAAAATCTCAACCAGGCTCCACACTCAGCACAGAGCCTGATGGGGGGCTCAATGTCACGACTGTGAGATCATGACCTGAGCTGATATCGAATCGACACTTAACCAATTGAGCCACCCAGGTGCCCCTAAAAAAAAAAAATCTTTGAAAGACAGATGCAAAAGGGAACTTCCTTAACCTAGTAGAGAATATCATAAAAAAATTCACAGCTACCAAATATTTAGGAAAGAATGTTTAAAGCTTTCCCTTTGAGAATACAGAAAAGATAAGGATGCCTACCATCATCACTTCTATTCAATATTGTAGCATGAAAAAGACATAATAATATTGAGAAGAAAACACAGTCATTTACAAATGACATGATTGTGTAAAAGATAAAATGATGCAGATAATTTAAAAAGAAGTTTAGCAGAACTGTAAGACACAAAATTCAAATATCAATGTGGATATCTACCTCATGCCATGACAGAAGAGCTAGTGCCAGACCAGCCGTTCTACTATAACAACTGGACAAAACATACGAAGCAATATTTTTCAGGCATTGGGCAAGAGTCAGCACATGACCACAATTCCTTAAAGAAGGGAAACACTTGACATGAGCCCCATGTTCATTGCAGCTCTGTCTGAAGCCAATTTCCCCATCACAGCATAAAGAGCTGAAGCACAAGCAAAGCACATCAGTTTCACTGATTTGCAGAGGCAGATTTCCGTGTTTGGTTTGTCAAAACAGCTGGAATCTGTAGGGCCGGATACTGGAGAGAAGAAAGATCACATTAGGAAGGATCCAAAAATCTGTTTGGAGGTTTCCTCCAAGTCCTTGGCCAACAAATAGACTGGGTATATGCAATGAAAGACTTCGCAAGGCTTACCAAAGACCAGTGCTATGAGACTGGGGGAAGACTAAAGATATTAGAGATTTATCAGAGCTGAGAGATAAAATGCCAGCCCATGTAGACTGAAAAGACCTCAGAAATACTTCAGGAATAAAACTGAGACAGCAGAAAGACCACACCTTAAGCGAAGGGACCATTTCCTAAAGAAAGAACTACTCTGGACCTATACAGAGCTTAAAACCAAGCCTGGACAAGAACAGGAGGGGAAACAGAATTTGAAATTTGAAGAGAGCCAATACAGGGGTCTTGAGAAGCATCTCGGAATTTCCTTTAATCCACCTTCACAGAGTATAAAACCAAGCCTTGACAAATCCAAGTGGTTAGATATAACTGAACTTGCTACTAATAAAAAACAGACAAAAGAAGACAAACAAACAAACAAAAAACACTTGTCAGAGGAATTTAACATACTACAGGGCCCCTACAGTGTATCATCCACAATGTTTAGTATACAATAAAAAGTTACCAGATATACAAAGAAACAGGAAAATATGACCAACAGCAAAGAAAACAGCGGTGAAGAGAACTGATCTTGGGAAGGCCTAGATGTTTTAATTACTAGGTAAAATGTTGAAAGCAACTATTATAAACATGTTCAAGGCCTTAAAGGGAAATATGACCTTAATGAGTGAAGAATTAAGGAATCTCGGCAGACAGAACCATAACAAACATAAATAGAAATACAGAAAACATTTAAATGGGAATTCTAAAAAGTCTACAGTAACTGAATTAAAAAAGTACTGAATAAGCTTAAGGACAGATTAAAGACAGCAGAAGTGGGCATCCAATCTGAAGAACAGAGTAAAGGCTTAAACATTAACAGAACCCCAGTGATCAGTGTGATACATTATCATTCATGCAAATGGCATTACAGAACGAAGAGATGGCAATTACACTTACATGGCAAGAATTGCATAATGTACATAAGTGTCAAATCGCTATGTTATACACCTGAGGCTAATATAAGATTGTATATCAACTATACTTCAATAAAAGATAAAAATAAGAATGAAAGAATTACAATAGGCCAGAAAAGTTATTTGAAAAATTATAGCTGAAAACGTCCCAAATAATTTAAAGCCTTGGCTTACATATCTAAGCTCAGCAAAATCAAAGTAAGATAAATACAAAGAGGAGTACATGTACCCCCTAGACACATGATAGTCACAAGACTGAAAACCAAAGAGAGCATCTTGAAAGCAGTCGGAGATGGGAACAAAAAGATAGATTGCAAACAGGAGTAAGAAAAATAATGGCTAACCTCACATAAGAAACATGATGGCAAGAAGACAATTGACTGACTTATTTAAAGAGCTCAAAGAAAAATTACTTTCAACTTCAAATTCTAAGTAACTTGCAAAAAGAAGAGAGGAGACAGACATTTTCAGACAAATAAAATCTGAGAGAAAATATTACCAATGCACCTAGACCAATAAAAAATATGAATTCTTTTTTAAAAATATGATTTATTGTCAAATTGGCTAACATACAGTATGTAAAGTGTGCTCTTCGTTTTTGGGGTAGTTTCCCATGGTTCATCACTTAAATACAACACCCAGTGCTCATCGCAACAAGTGCTAATTCTTAACACCATTTATTGAAGAAACTTCTTTCCCCACTGCATATTCTTGGCTCCTTTGTTGTAAATTAATTGACCATATATGCATGGGTTAATTTTTGGGATCTCTATGCTGTTCCTTTGATCTGTGTCTGTATTTATGCCAATGACATATTGTTTTAATTACTAGAGTTATGTAATATAGTTTGAGTTCTGGGAGGGTGAGGCCTCCAGGTTTGTTTTTCTTTCTCAAGAGTGCTTTGGTTAAATGTGAATTGGTAGAGCCTTACAGAAAACAGTATGAAAAGTTCCTCAAAAACTTAAAAATAGAACTACCATATGATCCCCCAATTCCACACTTGGGTATTTACCTGAAGAAAATGAAAACATTAACTCAAAAAGATATGTACCTGTATGTTCATTGCAGCATTATTTACAATAGCCAAGATAGAGAAACAACCATGTCCATCAATGAATGGATAAGGAAATTGTGGTACATGTGTATGCATATCTATATCTATATCTATATCTATATATTTATATCCATCTATGTCTATGTCTATAACAACTATAACTATAACTATATACAATGGAATATTACTCAGACATAAAAAAATGAAATCTTGCCATTTGTGACAAGATGGATGGACTCAAGGGCATTATGCTTAGTGAAATAAGTCAGAGAAAAACAAAAACCACACGATCAATCCTGTATATGAAACCTAAAAAGAAACAAAACAAATAACTCCCTATCTCAAAAAAAAAAAAACAAATAAGCCCCCCCACACACACACACACATATAGACAGAGAGAGAGAGGGAGAGAGAGAGAGAACAGATTAGTGGTTGCCAGAGGTGGTTCAGGGGATGGGAAAAAATGCACTTGAACTGCATTTTTTGTTCCAGCATCTGTATCTATCTATATCTATACCTATATCTATATCTAAATCTCAAATTCATTATTTTATTTACTCATTATAATTTTTGAAGATCTATCTAGGAGGTTGTAGTGAGCTAAGCATTATATGCTATTGAAGAGGAATGAATCTTACAGTATTGGGTTAGGGAAGATGGATAATAATTAAAAAATAAAAGTACACATAAGTTTTAATGGCTTTTTAAAGTAATTGTTAAAAGTTTAATCTCTCTAACCTCAATCTCCTTATTTCTGAAGATAACACAGGAGAGTAAATGTAACTTCAGATGAATGTTGCAAAAAATTATTGAAATGTGTAGTTATATTTTATTAAGTTCAAAGAAAATGTTCAAAAGTCAAATTGTATGTATGTATGTGTTTATTTGTATCCATTTTTATTTGAAAGAAGTATACTCATATATATATGTACACAAAAATAGAATCATTTATAATTTCATATTTTGTGTAAAAGGAAACTTGAAAGTTGGAAAGGATAAAAAAAATACTAGTTCCGTAATATAAAGAAAATTAAAATTGTCAGAGATGTACAAAAGAACAAAAAGTGCCAGAAATGGTAATTATGTGAGTAAATCTAAAAGACAATTCTCTTTGTTTTCTTTAAAAAAGCTAATCATTTAGGTCAAAAGCAAATACATTTTACATTGAAGTTTTATAATGCATTTAAAACAAACATATACAGCAACAATAATACAAATGATGGAGTGGGGACAGATACGTGGAATTACACTGTCATAAGGTTCTGACATTTGTGAAGTGTGATGTATGAATGGGAAGCGGAATGTAACATGTGTGAGATGTGAAGCTGAAGTCCAGCTCTGGGATGTTGGTAGTGGAGGTAAAAACTGGGGGAGTGTGAAAGGAGGGCATACAGGGATCGCTCTTAAATACACAATTTTACAAGTACATAACATTGATGAATCTCAGCAATAATTTAAGGATACATATTATTAATTCTAGAACACTACATCCAACAATTGCAGAATACACATTCTTCTCAAGTACACTGAGAGCAATCGTTCAGATAAACTGTATGCTGGGCTATAAAATAAGTTTCAATAACTTTCAGAAGTTTGAAATCTTGCAGTGTATATTCTCGAACAACAATGGAGTTAAATTAAAAGGCCATGACAAAAAGACATTTAGAAAACTCCCAAATACTTGGACTCTAAACAAGAGAATTCTAAATAAATAACCCAATGATGAAAGAACTCACAGAAAGAAAAATTTTAAATATTTTCAAAAGAATCCTAATTAAAACACATCAAAATTTATGGGACATCACTAAAGCAGTCCTTAGAAGTAATTTTCTAGCTTTAAACGCCAATAATTTTAAAGGATAACAATTTAAATCAATTATTTTACTTTCTACTTAATGATATAGAAAAATAAGAAAATTAAGTAAGCAGAAAAAAGGAAATAATAAAGAAAAGCAGAAATCAATGAAATAGAAAACAAATATGACAAAGTTAACAAAGCCAAAATTTGGTTTTCTGAAAAGATCAATACATTTGAATCTTACAAACACATTTTCTGTTAGGAGGGAAAAATAGTATAACACCTTGGGAAAAATTTGTTATTATACTTACTTATTTATATATATATATAGAGAGAGAGAGCACACACGAGTTGGGATGAGGGCAGAGGGAGAGAGAGAGAATCTTATGCAGGTTCTATGTTCAGCACAGAGCCCTACACAGGGCTTGATCCCATGACCCTGGGATCATTCCTGAGCCAAAATCAAAACTCAGACACTCGACGAACTGAGCCACCCAGGCACCCCTGGTATTATACTTTCATTTACAATGTGCACACGCTCTACAAATTGTGATTCTACTCCTAGTTACAAATCAAAGAGAAACTCTTGTAAATCTGCAATAGCAATGTTAACAACTGCCCTGTTTATCATAGAACAAACCCGGAAATAGCTCCAAAGCCCTGGCATATATATGAGTTGTGACATATCCATGCACTAGAATATTATAAAGAATTAAATCAATCACAACTATACAGAACACTAAATTTAATCAAAATTTTCTTGAGTGCCCATTAGGTGCCAGGCACTGATCTCAGCACTTGGGGTACATCAGTTAATAAAACTGATGGGATCTCTACCCCTCAAGCAACTTACATTCTTGAGGTAGAGAAAGATAAGTAATGCACATAATAAATAGGCAAATTATATATAAAGAACACTAAAAAGTGATGAATGATTATAAATGAACAAGTGAAGCATCGGTAAGTAGGCTCTGAAATACCTGAGTTGGAGAAACTGGGGGTTAAGATACACGGGGGGAACATAGGACGATGGCTTTTCTCAGTGTGATGCTAAATGAATATAACATTGATGAGCCTTAGCAATAATAAATGACAAAAACACATCCAGATGCTGTGCCTCAATTCTCCCCTGCTGCAGTGGAAACTACGAAAATCGAAAATCGGCAGTTGCTCTTTTCTCCTGATGTGAGGGATTCAGAGGCCTTGTTTTGAGGGGTAAGGGGCACAAAATCAAAGCCGTTTTGATTAATGAGTCACCACTTGAATATAAAGGGACTATCTACTGGAAAAGCCATTATTATTATGGGTACCCCTAAGAAGGGGGAAAATGCTATCAGTGAATTATCTGTAAATTGCATCCTGATTTCAGAACATTTAGTCATTGTCATATTGGATTAAACTTCCAATGACCTGAAAAAAAAAAGTAAATGTGAACGTTTTCAACTGGCTACAAGATATATACCTTTCACCTATATGTCTTTTGCCAGGTAAATAGCTGACAGCTATACATTTGAAATTATATCCTCAAAATATTTGTAATATGTGATCCATCACATGAAATAATTTTCCATATATTTATATATAGAGATATATTTCTATAGATATATTTCTATATATATTTCCTATATCATCTGAAGAACATTTTTGAGATAAATAATTTTATTCCAGATTTCAGTGACAATCTTGCATCCCATTACTCAAAAAGCAAACATTGAGATATGTATTTAATAATGTATGTCAGTTAGCTTTAAGGAAAAGTTCATTCTAAAAATGTGCTGCTATGTAACTATAATTTCAAATATTGCACAAATTAATAAAAATACTTTATGGTTTATTAATTTTCTGAGTTTTGTAAACAAAGTTTTTCTTCAGAAAAAGCATATCCATTTTCTAGGTTTTATTAAGTGGTTTCAATATATTTCTATGGGCTAAAACCAAGATTTTCAAACATAGACTGGAGGTTACACACAGGGATTTCTTAAATGAACTCACATGAAAAATCATTTCTATATATGTTTTAAAAAAATTCACCTTAAATGCCTCCCTAATGTTCTAGGATGACTAAACAGAAATGGTAATATGCATGTTTGACCTATTAACCAACCAACTGCAGCTACTGAGAGAGCTAATTTGGATATTTCAACCTTTAAAATTTAAGGTAAATAAGTACTAAGTAAGTTTTAATAATTTGACATTTTAATATTTTATTTTAATATATTCAATGAATTTCATATGTTTTGACAGAATCATAATTTCTACAAATGATCTCTACAAATGGATTCTCCCAAATTTCAAGCTACATACATAATCATCTAGACCAAAGATGTTAGCACGTATAATTATTGGATTCTAATTTATATTTCAACTTACTACAAATTTAAATATAGCATGTGTGTCATTACATGGTAAAGAAATTAGCATGTGCATAACATACATCTGGATGTTTTAATTTTACATTAAGCCATTTACTTCTTGTTCAATGTCCCTAAGACATTCTTTATTTCATATCTGGTTAGTTTGTACTTCCTAATTTCTTCTAATGTTCATTACTGCCTACAGTGGAGTTTCAAATTATACACGTTCCAAGTATTAGAGCAGAAATGTGAGTTAAAAAGTAAATAATTGAGGCATGGATAACATGAGACTCTCCTACTCCAAAAGTGAAGTTAATTGGAAACATTATTTTTTGGAGGTTAAGTATTTGGATAGACACTTGCAAGACTACTTTGCAACAGTTATATTCATACAGGGTAAGTTGGCTAGTATTCATTTTATAGAATATGCTTGCAGAACAACTTGCCAGGATAAGCTATCTTGTAAGAATATGTTCCAGATAGAAATTCGGTGGTAGAGACTCATTATTCATTGTTCTAACCTTATTTCCTCACTGCAGATAGAGTTTTGATGTATTCCTATGTATATGTGGCACAGTATTTTCTACTGGATGTTTAACTAGATACCAAGGTGTAGAGTTCCAGAAATTTGAATGTATGTTTCAAACATCTGGAGCTATACATATGGGCAATATACAGCTGTGTTTATTTCAATGATTACACATTTACATGCATACAATACATTTATTTAAATGTATAATCTCTTATATATGTGAGAATAGTCAAACAAATGCATTTGCTGTACTTATTTGAATACGCAATTGAAAACGAATTCAAATAAATAATTCACTTTTATTTAAATCTTACAGTATTTATTTATGTAACATACTTATTAATATACAATCATAGCTCTTTTTAATCTAAAACTAAATATTTTTAAAAGATTAAAGAAACATAATGGTGATCATGAGTCATAGAAATCAAGAAATTTTGTAGAGAAGTATTCATAGTGAGGTTTCAGAAGAATTTGAAAATTCAGCAGGACACAAGAATAAAATCATTTGCAATTGGAATGTTTCTTTCATTCCGACAATTTTATCATAGTGGACATTTTAATTGAATTTCAAAGTACTTGTCCAGAAGTATTGTTTTGTTTTGTTTTCCCTTTATTATAACTACTGTATTGACAAGATAAACACTTCTGGGTATTGGTTTAATACAGAAGGAAAAAGGGTTACACTATTTTAAAGCCACACACATACAAATCTGGTTAAGAGTATTAAGATAATCTCATTTAACTCTACCTTTATTTCGGGGAGAGGAACTGGAGACCAGCAAATGATTTAGGAGAAAAGAAAAGAAAATTACATTTTGGATTCAATTTCTGGCCCTGATATCCTAGGAGATTTCCGAGACCTTCTAGTTAGTCTATTTATACTTGTCTCAGTCCTTCTGTTTTCTGTACGCTATTTACTTTCTCAAGGTTTTTTTTTTTTTTTTTTTTTTAGCTATGATAGGCTGGCCTACAGGAAAATGACTTACACTAAACCAAGAGAAAACTTAAATTGAAAATCGCACAGGTTTTTGAAAGAATTTTAAATTCAACGTACCACAATATAAAAAGTAATGACTGCAGGCACTTCTTCATTTGTTGAATGACTGAACAAATGTAACCTATCTGAGCCTTTTTCATTGTTCACAGGCCTTGGATAATAACATTGGGTGTTGAGAGAATTACAGGATTAAAAGGTATAAATCATTCAATTGTCGAGTGCTTTCCAAATAACTTCGTATTTCATTCCCATTTGGTAGACGTGAAAACTGAGTACCTGGACATACCTCCAAAGCTTTGTTGTTGGTCATGTTTCAGGAATCACCTTTCCTAAACTGATTCATCTCCTGTGAAAAGCTTGAATCTGCAAACAATGTTGTTTTCAGAGACAGTCCACGCTTCCCCCCGTGGGATGCTCCCCGGAGATTGGGGATGGTAGTGTGTGTGCGTGTTTAGCTGGGAAGGGTTCAGTAATGGAAAGAACACAATTTTGTCTTTCATAGTTATAAAACAAGTCATAGTCCTTATTTTTAATTTCTATGGTCATTTTGTGAGTCAGGTATTAGAGCTTGAGACTCGCGTCAAAACGAAGGAAAGGCCGAGGGGCCTACGCCTCGGCGACCAGGACCCGCGCAGAGGAGGGAGAGAGATTGACCAATCGGAGCGCAGGCTGGGGACGGGTCCTGTCCCTCTCCGCCAAGCCCCGCCTCTTTCCGTACAGCCCCTTGGGAGTAGGGGGTGTGCAGCCTACTCGTCCCGCCCCTGCCTCTGAGTGACAGGACCGTGGACAGCAACATTTCCAGCAGGACACGAAGTTTGTCGGCCCTTGCCTTGGCTGAGCTAAGGTGTGTGTGTCCGGCGAGGGCGAGGGGGCTGGGGCGGCCCTGCCAGGGAGGCTCGGGGTCCGGGACTGAAAGCGGGCGCACGTCCTTAGCGAGTCCCCAGAGCGTTTAGGACATGGTCGTTCCTCCCTGAGAGCGGCGCTTGGGCTGGCTGGGCGTAGGTAGGCTCTGGAAGACCGGGAACCCGAAGCTAGGGAAACCCAGTAGGTACGGTAATCACTTAAGGACCCCTTCCGGCGTGCAGGGCGCTCGCGGTGGGGGTGGGGACGGCGAGCACAGAGTTGGGGCGGTGGGTGGGCGTGGCCGCCTCTGTTGCTAAGGAACGAGCGGTTCCCGCCCTGCCAGCGTGTCTGGCGCCGGCGCAGGGCCCTGGAAATTTTAGCTCCACCCACCTCCCGAGGCCTCTTTCTCGGTTGGGGATTGGCTCTCTTGTGCTGTCAGTTAATTCGTGTCCTGTTATTTTACAGTCCAGCGCTCGGGGTCTCGTAGTTCTTGTTCTGGCTTTTCTCTGGTGTTACTCCACTCCGTACTTTTATCAGCCTTCCCCTTCTTAATAAATATCTGCAGACCAAAACGTTTGCAGAGAAGAGCTTCAGGCTGCGTTGAGGTGGCGTTATTTGCACGGGGTGGTGGGAGGGACTAGGGTGGAATGGGAGGAAAGGATCTTTGCTTGGTGCTTGGTGAATCCCTGGACCCACAGGGTGTTGGTATCCGTGTGGATGGCTAGGAAAAGGGGGATAGGATATCCAATTTCTTCTACCTGGAATTATTTTTCTCTCTGCTGTAACGTTTGAGCACAATGAGCAGCTCAAGAAGTTGAGGCAGTTCCTTTCTGGACAAGCTCCAATACATGATATCCCTTTCCAGTTCCTACTGTGGAAAGTGGGTGATAGATACTAATTGGATCAAGCCCCTCGGCTTGATTGGCCCACATTTAATGATTAACTGTAAGATGGTAACCACAGATAACCACTTCAGATCTCTTTGCTCCTATCATTTGGCCCCAAATGATTGAGCAGAACAAACATTTCAGAGAGAAAACACATAAGGAGCTAAAGTCTACTTTTACTTCCTTCTGCTAGGTTTACTGTATAAATCTACAAGAAGGAAGCTTGTACTTCTTAGAACACTGAGGAGAACCTTGGCCTGTAAGTCAGAAAACTGTCAGGGTTAGGGAATGTTTGTCCTTGGCCAATAACCTTCATAACTGTGTTCTCATCTATACTTTGCCCTTTGTTCCTAAAAATTAAGGAGGGATAATTGATTATGAAAGTATTATTAATAATTTACACAGATGTGAAGTGTTATTGATTGCACTTTATCTTTTTGTCTATATGATCTGAATTTGTAAACACATAGAAGTATGATCATTTAGCTTAAAGTAGTTTCAAACCTCCCTTGGGACTTCTCTTATCATCGGGTTATTTAGAAATGAAGCAACTCATTTATTTGTTGTTGATTCTGTGAATACTTCTCGTTAAGTGGTGCCTTAAATATCTTGCATGACACTTTTTCTCCCCCTTGACATCACTTGGTTTTTCAAAGTATATACATAGCCTGAAAGGATTCGGAAAGATTACCTTCTAATCTAAGGATGAATGACCTTCTTGATATCATGTACTGGTTTGAGAAGCTAAAGAAAGCTATTAAGTCTCCCCTTAGAGAAAGACACTGTTTGAAGTGTAATTGGACCCTGGATTAAGACCCTGTTTTGGGTCAACTTCTTGAGGGATAAGGAAATTATTCTCCCCCTTGCTTCATACCAAAGAGTGACTGAGAACATGGCTGGGAACAGAATTCGGTCTTTGTTCTTTCTTCCACATTGCATTTTACCATAGCTTAATTTTAGTTCAGCATCTTAAGCCAATCTTTTTTTTTTTTTTTAACCATTTAATAAACAGGAACTACCAGTGCTCAATAAATTGTTGCTGTCTTTCAAAACCATGTAAACTGTAATTTTTTTCAAATGCCCTTTGATTCTTCTCTTAAAGGATATTCTTATATTTAAGCAAGTGAAAAAAGAAATCATTGTCAAATATTTTGCGAAAATGTTAAATTGTATTTTTGAGATAAACATTAAAAACATAAACTTTCTCTTCTATCACAGTCCATTTTGGACAAAGAAAAGCTGATTATGTTTATGCCACTTGAATACCATTACCTGATTCCTAGAACTCTTTTCTTCAATTTGAATCATCTTTCATACTATTTTAATTTCCCATGGCTGAAAAGTATTGTGATTGGTTCCACTATGGTTTTTTTCGTGATTTCTGTATGAAAATAAAGGCTATAAATAGCCTAAATTTTCCTGAAGTTTATTTAGGTTTATCAATGAAAGTGGGCATATGTGGTAGACATTATCATCAGAAAGGGATAACACTGAAAAGAGAAAATATGTATTGCTTTTTTAATAAACGTAAGAGTATATAGGAGCACATGTCATTTTCCTTATCATTTATAATTTTATTTTATCTATTTAGTATTTGGCTATCCCTTTCTCAACTCCATTTCTGGTAGAGAAACTGATATAAAGATAAATGGATTAGAGAAAGCATTCTACTGGAATTACAGTTTTTAGGGGCTCAATAAATAATCGCTTTATTTTCCCTCACTCTCCTGGGTGTGTAAACAGAGGGAGTTTGCAATATCACCTTCCTTACTAAAGAGCTGATTTGGCGTAGTGCTTTGGATGGGAGACCCGAAATGAGTACTAGTACTTTCTGCCTCCTCCTACCTCCTACCTCCTGCCTCGTCTTTCCTTACATCTTTTCTTAAGTGAGAGATCATTTCAGTTTGCATAAAAGGTACATTTACCCAGAATTAGCAATGAAGTAAAAGACGGAAAAACTCTAGTATTGACAGGTTTCTAATAGCTAATATCTACCCATTGAAGTAATATGGACCAGTGGATTTCAGCCGCCAGTCACCAATCAGATAACTCTCATGTTGGGAAGCTGTGGATAGGAGTAGGATCTGAGGCCAGGACTGTTAACCTAGAGCTCTGATTTTCCACCCTAGATGATCCCTTTGGGTCTTTTGAAATAAGTGGAGGTGTTTTTAAATTATTACTGTGTCTTTACAAGCTTATGGCTTTTGGGACCCTGAAGTTTAGGAATGGTAAGTATTGTGTAACATAGAGGTCCAGCTCAATGAAGAATTTTCTTCCCACACTCCAAGGCCAAAAACATGTCTTTGAGAACTGCTGTTCCAGTGGAAGTTCCTCTACGTGGAGGCATGAGGCTAGACGAGATTTCACCCTAGTCCTTGTTCCTCTGTGTTCTTGTTTTTGTCATCAATAGATTAAGCTCTAAGTGTGAAGGTCTTAATAAAAATACTGCTTAGAAAATAGCTATTTTTTGGTATTTTCCAAGAATGACTAAAACAATGTTAATAGAAAATACTAATGCATATTTTATAATATTTGATATCCTCAAAACATTTCTAACTGAACAGAGAAGGATCTAGAGTCTTAAGAACTAAATCTTTTCACACCTGGTACATACATTTAATTCTTTCTTGTATGACAGAAATGTTCAGTATCTTTTTTTAATGTTTATTTATTTAATTTGAGAGAGAGAGAGAGTGTGAGCATAGAGGAGGGGCAGAGAGAGAGGGAGACAGAGAATACCAATAGGGTCCAGACACTGTCAGCACAGAATGGGGCCTGATCTCACAAACCTTGAGATCGTGACCTGAGCCTAGACCAGGAGTCAGAGGCTTAATGGACTGAGTGGGCCACCCAGGTGCCCCAGAAATGTTAAGTACCTTTGTGATGATAGAGTGCAATAGGTATATATTTTCTTGAAAAAGAAAAGAAATTTCTTAGCTTCTTAACTTGGGAATGCTAAAAAACGATAGAAAGATAAATACTGTGTACTCAGAGGTTTAACAAATTCTGTTTTGTTGAACCTCCCGTAAATGAGAGGATCTTATATATTTTCAAGCCACTGAACATGGAGAATGACAGCAGGAATAAACAGAAACTTAGTTCTTCTATAATAGTGTTATGCAGTGACATAGTTGTAAAAATAACAGACCAATTGGACTGAAGACCTTAAAATTTTGGCAAAGACAAAAGAAGAAAACCCTTTTTAACGTATTTTAGGTATTAAAAATATTCAGATATTGCTGGTTGTAGACTGATAAATTATATGGATACCTGTGACAAAATCCTAATTGTGGATTACAGTTTATAACCTACACTAGACAGAAGGCACACTGGACTGAAAGTTTTAGACTAGGCTCCAGCAATAGATAAATTATTTGGGGGTGAGGGGGTGATAATGTTCCAGTTATCAAGTTCCTTATATGTGAATATCTAGAATTGAAGATTTGTGGTGTTCTTCCATTTTTATGAAGAATGTGCTTGAGCATTATAATACATTCTCATTATTCACAGTGGTTCAATATAGCATGAATGTCTCTGGGCAAGGGCATATCAGGTTTTTTTTTTGTTTTTTTTTTAAGAACCAGTTTATGGGGCACCCAGTTGACTCAGTCGGTTAAGCCTCCCACTCTTGATTTTGGCTCAGGTCGTGATCTCACAGTTTCATGAGTTTGAACCCTGTGTCAAGCTCTGTGCTGACAGCATGGAGCCTGCTTGGGATTCTCCCTCTTTCTTTGCCTCTCCCCTGCTTGTGCTCTCTCTGTTCTCTCAAAATAAATACATAAACTTAAAACAATTAAAAAAGAATTAAAAAAAAACAGTTTCTGATTCCATATTGTCATTTTCTAGGGGTCTGTTATCTGCCTTTTCTCCTCTCCTCAATATTCCACCCTCACACCTC